GTTGGCACAACAGGGTCTTCTGAAAACTTTGAAGGCGGATAAGCCAGCTAATCTGGAAGAGGAAGATTGGGAAGATTTGAAGGAGCGTGCGGCAGGAACCATTCGGTTATGCCTAGACGATGGAATTGTGTATCACGTTATGGCCCTGGAAGCCCCAAAAGAAATTTGGGATAAATTGGAAACTCAGTTCATGGAAAAATCTCTAACGAACAAACTGTATCTAAAGCAAAGGCTTTATGGGCTTAAGATGGAGGAGGGTTCAGACTTGGTGCATCATATGAATGTCTTCAACCAGATAATCTCAGATCTGGCCAGGCTTGATCTCAAGATTGAAGATGAAGACAAGGCGATGATCTTTCTATGTTCATTACCTTTTTCCTTTGAACATCTGGTGACTACTCTAACATACGGGAAAAGCACGATTAAATACAGCAAGATCTCTGCGGCCCTGCAGGCTCATAATAAGCGCTTGCAGAGTGGATCGTCTGTTGGTGAAAGTTTGTATGCTAAAGAGGGTCAGGATCGTGGAAGGAAACAAGAGAAGGGTAATTCTGGGAGGAAAAACTCTAGGTCTAAATCCAGAAATAGCAGAAAAATCCGGTGCTACAAGTGTTATGAGATTGGGCACATAAAGAGAGATTGTCCAAAGTTGAAAAAACAACAAGAGGCGACGAACGTGGTGCATGCTGATGACTCAGATTATAGTGAAGGTGATGTTCTAGCGGTAACTAGTAACAAGTTCGAACATTGTTTGGACTTGTTGTGTGTTTCTAGATGCTAGATGAGAAGGTGGTGAGGGGCGCTGTGGTGTTGGGCAGCGCGGATACTAGGAGGGGTCGTGGACCTGGTATCGGTATGGGCTTATATGGGCTCGGTATGTGCCGGTATGGCATTGGTTAAGGCCGATATGGGTTTGGTATGGACGGACGCTTCAAGATGAAGCGGTTCGTGAACATGCACTAGAAACGTTTGATGCTGCGTGGTGCGTGTCGCTAACCAGTGACAACTACTGGTTAGTGGAGCATTGGGCAAGGCACACAGGATTAGTGTGACTTTGCAGGAGCGCTGTTGTATTAGGGGCAGCGTGGATACCAGGAGGGGATATGGACCTAGTATGAGGCGGGCTTGTCATGAGTCACGGCTGGTATGAGCTGGGCTAATATGGCTTGGTGTTACGGTTTGCTTGGGACAAAGCAGTTCGTGAACATGCACGGGGAAACGTTTGATGCTGCATGGTGCGTGTTGCTGACCAGTGGTAATTGCTGGTTAGTGGAGCATTGGGCAAGGCACACGAGTTTAGTGTGACTTTGCAAGGGCGCTGTTGTGTTAGGGGCAGCGTGGATACCAGGAGGGGACATGGACTTGGTATGAGCCGGATGCAGGAGGTCAGCTAAACGGGACAGTAAGCATGAGTCGCGGCTGGTATAACAGGTCGACAGCTGAGGGGCGAATAGCTTGGGACAAAGCGGTTCGTGTACATGCTGGAAAACGTTTGATGCTGCGTGGTGCATATGGCTGGCTAGTTGGGATGAACATGGTTGTTCCTACCCATGTGTATATGTGAGATAAGTTTTTTTCTCCTAAGGGGCATAATTGTGAATGTGGAGATGGTGAGATAAGTATTTTCTCCTAAGGGACATATTTGCTAAGGTGGAGATTTGCTGAGTTATCTTTTTCTCCTAAAGGACATATTCGCCAAGGTGGAGATAGTTTTTTTCTCCTAAGGGACATATATGTGAAGGTGGAGATGGTGAGATAAGTTGTTCTCCTAAATAGCATATTCGTCAAGGTGGAGATTTGTTGAGTTATCTTTTCTCCTAAAAAACATATTCGCCAAGGTGGAGATTGTTGAGTTTGTCTCATATATGGATTAGGAATAAGTGTTTGTCTCATACTAGGAGTAGGAGTGAAACGGGTAGACCTATTGTATAGGGACTAGATGCCTATAAATATATTGGTTGTATCCCTAAGGGGTAGTGTCGCCACTATCACCATCACTATGAATAAGAGTATTGTTTCACTCCCGTGGATGTAGGCACTTTGCCGAACCACGTAAGTCTTGTATTCTTTACCTTACCTGCCATTATTATTTTTCTTGTTCTTGTTAATCTCAACATATATATATATATATATATATATATATATATATATATATATATATATATTATATTTTTTATGTTTTCAGCCTTTAAGCATTTTTAATTAAAATCTAACAATATTGTTCGATTACTGTTTACCTTAACCCTATAAATATAGGATGTTGAAGTATTAAGACCAAGATCAGGCCGATATCAAGATAACAACATGTAAAATCGCAGTAATCAAACAAGAACATGAAGAATAATAACTGATAAGAGTAACCCTAGCTTGTATGATTTATGCAGATTAAGACTAACATTAGCCCAATATAAGATTTAGAAGAGAGTAACGCTATGAACCTATAATTTTTTTCTATTAAGCATACGATTAGCTCAAGATGGAGAAAAAATCAAGGTAGAGCAAAGAAACTCCTGCTCAAGATGGAGAAGAAATCATGGTAGAGCAAAGAAACTCCTGCTCAAGATAATATATGTATTTGAGAAAACAATATAATTGTTATTATTATGTTATATTCTGAAGAGAGTAGTTTCCAAAAAAATAATCAATAGTCTTTTAAAACATGTGTGAATGTTTTCATTCTTTCAACCGTACAATGCAATGTGTGCACTGAAAATCATATTACAAAATAATTTAATATATATTTAATTATAATAGATTTATTATAAACTTTATTAAATTTGTAATGCATATAATGATTATTTTGAAATATGTTAACTGGGTATTTATGTATTTGATTTATTACCAAGTCTTCAATTGTAGTTGGCATCCAGCACTATTCAGTCCTGGCTTCGCCCCTGCTCACATAAGATCAGTTCCGATCCGGAAATGCTCTTTGAGGAACACAGAATACATACCAAGCACATATAAAGCTGATTTTATATACGAAGAGATATTCCCTATCAAGACTATTACATATTCACAAACAAATTATGATAATGAACATGTAGTAGTGTTTTTTTGTCTTCTTGAACAAATGCTTACGAACGTACAAATTATGCATGATTGCATGAATCCGTGTAAATTCATGCTAACGCGAATTGAATGTTGGGAAGCCAACAGTCATTTACTTAAATGCAATTTAAAACACTCTCTCTATACAATACTATACCTCTCTTCATTCCCTTTGAATCATGGCGGCCGCTAATTCATCAACCGTGAGCTTGAAGCTCCTCGTTGACAAAAAGACGCGAAAAGTCCTTTTCGCCGAAGCCGACAAGCCATTCGTTGATTTCTTATTCCTCCTCACGTCGTTGCCGCTCGCGACAGTTATCAAACTCGTGAACCACAACTCCATGGCCGGCTCCCTCGGAGCATACAAAATATAGGCGAAACATACCTCCAACCCAACATGGATAGGGGCGTCCTTCTCAACCCTAAACTTACGGTTCCCTACTCTTCCACTGTGCCGCTCCTAAAGGCCGCCGGCGTCGTTTCTGAGACCAGGAAGTTTTACGTTTGTACTGGCGGCTGCAACGCTCATGGTAACCGCCAGAGATACATCTCCGAACATCCGGAATGTGTTTGTCCTACTTGTAACTCCAGAATTAGTACCGAGGCGCATTATGTTGCTCCGGTAAAAGCAGATAGTGCTACTAATGATGAAAATGGTGGGGGGTTTGTGAAGGGTGTTGTGACGTACATGGTGATGGACGACTTGACAGTGATGCCCCACTCCTCCATTTCTACCATTACTGTTCTGAATAAGAACAATATTAAGGATTTCGGCCATTACTGTTCTGAATAAGAACAATATTAAGGATTTCGGGTCGCTTGAGGTGGAGGATGTGCGTTTCGGACTTGATGAGGTATTTTATATATTGTTTTGAATTAATACCAGTACGGTGGTAAAGTTTTCCCACTGATTACTCACAGTCCTTTTAACATTCAAATTATTATCATTTTTGGTCCAAGTTTACCACCCATGGTCATTCAACTTTCAAATTTTAACTAGTTGTGGTTCTTTCGTGTGGTTAAAATTTGATAGTTAAAGGACTATGAGTGATTAACTTGGATCACTAACGGTAACAATTTGAAAATCGAAGCACCACGATGGTCAATTTGAAAGTTTAAGACTAAACGTGACAAAACCCTAATAGTCAGAAGACCCAAATGATATTAACTCTATTGTTTTCCATGCACTTTCATCCATTTATTTACCGTTATACATTAGGGAATCTAGAGATGCCAGGGACAACTGGAGCAGTCTCCACATGCTCTATTTTATGTGTATACATATATATATATATATATATATATATATATATATATATATATATGTTTTAATATAATTAGATAATAACTTATCATATGTAATATAAACTTATCAATTATGTCTTTTAATTGGCTTCATGTATCCATTTTTTTTTACTCACGCGCCTTAATGGTGAAAACATATTGTAGTGGCTAGCAAATATCCTAGTTTGAACCCTGTTAGGAGTAAAATCTCAGGAAATAAGCAAGCATACAAATCATTTTACCATAATTGAAGTACATTTTATGGTTTATCTTCTCTTACAAGCTCTTTAGGGCTAGAGTCTTGAGTCACCCATAGGTTTGGAGTTCAAACATTTATGTGTATATATGTTTATGTAGATGTATGTGTATATATGCAGTATACAATTCTAATGAAAGAATGGATTGAATAATGAAACAGGGATTGAAGGCTGCTTTACACACTGATTCTGTGCTCACCACTGTGTTCATCCGGAAGTAGGCTAATCCGACTTCAACATCTGGAGGAAATGCGTTATGTTTTTTCAATTAATAGTATGGATGTTTTTGAATCCTATTTAGCTATGTCGCTCTCATGTTTAATTTGTACAACGGTGTTGACTATATCTTCAATGTTTCATGAAAAATTATTATTATTATTGTTATAATTATTATTGTTCTTGTTATTATTAGTAGTTCTCGCGGTCATCCCTCATCCCTCTGGGCGGTTCATAATGACCATGATGAATATGAGAAAGGAGATCAACATGTTCCTGAAGGGCATGCAGTAGCAATGAACATCTTTAATAATAGTTAGGAGATCAAAAGTGAAATTTTCTTATTTTTAATCGGATCCACTTAGAGCATTCATATCAGTTGTTTTTTGTATAATATTCAAGAAGACAAGAGGAGAGTGAGAGAGGATGCTACATTATTTCATGAGAATCACATTACCCATGTTATCAGATTACATGAAATTTTGAAGAATGCTAAATTATTAATTCAAAACATATAGATTGAACCAAACTCACCTAATTAATTCAGGTACTTAAAGTTGTATATCATGATTTGTGTATCTCATCTGGAACAGCTTGAAATAAAATTTGATTTATTTGAACAAGTAACATCTGTGACATTCAACCAAAAGGTACACCACATACATTTGCAATAATAATAGAATTCATTGATACTGCATTCAACAACTTCAAATTCCACCAATGACCAAAAGTCTCCAGACAGGAACAATAACAACTTTTAAATTTGAGATTGAGTATCCAAACCATATCCCCAGTTAAGCTAAGTGTGCTCGTGGAAGACAGTACTCAAAACTGACTGGGTAGATAACGCAGCCATCAACAACTTCAAACCCTGTCATCGTATAGACACAAATATATATATATATATATATATATATATATATATATATATTTTCGTGATGATAACATCATACGGAGTATAACTAACAGAAATTATATATATATATACACACACACATACCGTATAATACCCCAACGTAATATCCTTCTCCTTGATGGATCCAACATCCTTAACATTCAACTTTTCCAGTACTCTACTTCTAGAAGCGGAGGGCAGCCGCTTCACCTCTAAGTCATCCATCACCATATACTTCACGCCCCCATCCACAAACCCATCAACTTCACTCTCTGATGAAGTCAACGCATTTTCCCGACCAAATACATAAGTCAACTCAGTGGACATGAAGCACGAACACTCGGGACAAACACTTGACGATCGGTCGCTAACGTAAATAGTCTGGTGGTCGGATGATTTGGATTTAGAACAAGTGTAAAACTTGTCGTTGGTTGTCGCGAACATCTGTCTGGGGAAAAGCTGGGGCGCTTTTTCGATAGGGGGAATTGATAATTTCGGGTTTAAAATAGTGCGTTTGTTTAGCATTTGTTGGAGGTTAGCGAAGGGTAAGTTGGTAATGCTGTTGTACAATTTTCCGAGGGATCCGACCATGGAATCCCTGCATCCATTTCTGACAACCGTCACAATAGGGAAAGACATGAGGCAGAACAAGAAGTCGACGAATTCTTTGTCGGCTTCGGCGTAAAGGACTTTATGGACCTTCTTGTCGATGATGAGCTTCAAACTCAGATTTGGCAACATTGTTGGGGCGCGCGGGACTTGTATGGAGGGGATACCCAGACAACACACAAACACATATATATACAGAGGGGTGCCTGCTGGGGTGGGATGCATTGAATGGCGGTCTGATCTGAACGTTAGAAATGGATACTTTTGGTTTCTGTAGCTGTCGTTGGAAATACCTTCCGGGATTCGCATGCAATTAGTAGTAAATATACAGCATCATGTTATGGTGATGGTCATCGGGTAATCCAATAATTTTTTATTTTTATTTTTTTTGACAAATCCTTGGAGTACTGAGATTAGCCTAGTGATTCTTTGACAAGTCTAGATTGAATTTCGTGTGCATATATGAAGACTATGATTTGATCAATGGCCTGATTGTGGGATTCGTGATTTAACTTAGCAATGGCTCTAGGGGAGGGTCACGTGGACTTAGAATTAATCTTGATAAGCAAGAGATTAAGGAAATAGGCAAATTATGTTGGGACTCGGGTCCACCTTGCAAGGTGGACCAGGTCCAAAACGGCGTCGTCTTACTTCATCGCGTTATTGCCTCGAACGACCTAGCGCCCGGGTCTCCCTCTGGTCCTCCTTTGCACTCCCTTGCCTCTTTGCTTGAACCTCTCCTTCTCTTGGGCCTGCCTTTCATCGTCTTGCCTTCTAACTTACATCCCAGTCGTCATGACCTACTTTAATATTGTGTCTACCTTCAAGCGGGGCACTGTCACCACTCCATGGGGAACCCCGAGCCCAATGGGGGCGCCATGGCCGGAGGTGGCTGATGGTCCAAGCCGCTGGTAGTCTTATATGCGCTTGGTTAGAGGGATGGCACTGGTTCGAATCTCCCTAGCAGCATCCTCTTTAATATTTTACTCACCTTAGGCATATTTTACGACTAAAATTGAATTATAAAGTCATATTTGACAATAAAAATAAAAATACTAATAATAATAACAAAAATAATTTTCATGAAAACTGGTAAAATACAGAAACATCGTGCAGAAAGTGAAAATACAACACCATATATAGGATTAAAAAAATATTCATACTATTAATTGAAAAAACACAACGCATTTCCTGCAGATGCTGAGTCGGATTAGCCTACTTCGAGAGGAACACAGTGGTGAGAACAGAATCAGTGTGTAGAGCAGCCTTCAACACCTTCAATCCCTGTTTCATTATTCAATTCATTCTTTCATTACAATTGTATACTGCATATATACACATTATTACATATACATATACATAAATACATATAAATGTTTGGACTCCAAACTTTAAGTGTCGGTCAAGACTCTAGCCCAATAATATATATATAATAATAATAATACCTCATCAAGTCCGAAACGCACATCCTTCACCTCAAGCGACCCGAAATCCTTAATATTGTTCTTGTTGAGAACAGTAATGGTAGTAATGGAGGAGTGCGGCATCACATTCAAGTCGTCCATCACCATATACGTCACAACATCCTTCACAAACCCACCATTTTCATCCTTAGTAGCATTATCTGCTTTTACAGGAGCAACATAATGCGCCTCAGTACTTATTCTGGAGTTACAAGTAGGACAAACACATTCCGGATATTCGGAGATGTATCTCTGGCGGTTACCATAAGCGTTGCAGCCGCCGGTACAAACGTAAAACTTCTTGGTCTCAGAGGCGACGCCGGGGGGCATTAGGAGCGGCACAGCGGGAGAGTGAAACGCAACTTTAGGGTTGAGAAGGGCGGCCTTATCCATACTAGGTTGGAGGTATGTGTCGCTAATGTTTAGGATGCTGCCGTAGAGATTTCCGAGGGAGCCGGTCATGGAGTTGTGGTTCACGAGTTTGATAACTGTCCCCAGCGGCAACGACATGAGGTGGAATAAGAAATCAACGAAGGCCTTGTCGGCTTCGGCGAAAACCACTTTTAATGTCTTCTTGTCAACGAGGAGCTTCAAGCTCACGGTCGGTGAATTAGCGGCCTCCATGGTTCAAATTAAAACGAATGAAGAGAGGAACAGTATTGTAATGAAGAGAGTTAGTTTTCTTCGACTCGCTCTTCCCATAATATCTGTCTGACTACATCTATATATAGAGAGAGAGTGATACAATCATGGGATACTTCATGGGTATGTAGTTATAACAATAGTTGGATAGTGGATGGTTAATGGGATAGTGGTAGCTTTATAATCATGTATAAATGGCTATCTGTATATGTAAATGGAGTATGAAGAAAGAATATATTATTGAATTGTCTGGTAATATTTTATTCCCTTTTCATAAGTTAGGTATCAATTATTATCATTATATATATTTATAATTTATATTTATTATGCGGAAAAAAGACAAGTAAAATTTAGCCAATTCTAATGCACAAATTGAAAATATACGAAAGATAACACAATCACCACACCATTCTAAAATGCCATGATACTTTTGAATGAGGAAGCATGGAAATGGAACGGTTAAAATTTATGGAATGGTCACTGTCTTTATTACACTCCCCAAACAATAACAAAAATCCAGTACAGATTAATGGAGTTTAAGACACTAGCACACATAAATCTTGGTTTTCGAAAAAAAAAAAAACACACACACACAAATCTTTACAGAAATATCAGGGTTGGCAAGATCAAAGCTTGGTTTCCATAGCCAACATAAAAGCCAATTCAAGCTACTGCTCATAACATGACCCCGGACCTGTTGGAGGACTCCTGCCATAATAGTTTGTAACGGGAGCAGCTTGAACCCCTCGTCTTGTCAAGAGGCACCGGAAATATTCCAGTCTCTGCAACGCAACTGATGATGTATTTGTTGAAGATGTGGCCTCCTGGCTGCTCCACAGGCGCTCTACATTGGAAATGTTAATGATTACAAACTCTCAATCTCATGAAACGCTTGCAATAATTCATAATTTCATATTTAAATGAAGTTTTTACTGTAATACTGTAATATAGATGATTCTCTTAGGCAAATCATTGAATTGGTTGGATATAGTATTGCCAAATCCTAACCTGCTGCAGCTGCAGCTCGGGGCCATATGGTTTGTTGAACATTTGAAGCATCAGCAGTTTCACCCCACATGCATACTTCACCTCCAAGCACGAGTTTTTGCTGTTGAGCGTCATCTATATCTTCCAATGGATCTGCATAATAAACCTCGTCCCAGGGAACATCTAAATGGTCAAGATACCAGACACCTTGGTTGCTATAAATGCATCTGAAGTTTTTTGCAACAGCCTTTGGACAGACACCAGGGCCCAACCTACACCACCAATCATGTATTATTTTCTTCACAAACCTGACTGCGGCGGACCAGGAAAACCACAATGTTGTTTGACATGGTACATAAATCCAGTCTGTACTCACCAATTATGCACCACTGTCCTTGGGTTGAGTTTGGATGCAAAAGTGTTAAAGGTTTCCTCCCTGCATGAAATGACAAAGTTGATACACTAAAATTCAAAAAATAATTTAGAATACATGTTCTCAGAGAAAGCCAAATAGTTATTATTGAGTATTTTATATTAGAGAGAGAATGTTTGAAATTAACAGATGGGATTGCAACTTTTCAAGTATAAAAACTGTCCTTTTCTTCTTCTTTTTTTAATTTTTTTTTTTAATATTTTAAATGGAGGACATACCAGTTAACTGGTGTCCAATTTTGTGATATTGCTATTTCTTGACCTCTGAGCACAAAATATTGATATGCATCCTTAGCAGTCATATTATGATCTTCAAGCCTGCAAGTAGAATGTATAGTTATTACTAGAACTGCATAATAGGGAAAGTGGGAGACATCAGATCACAGACTCCAGGAATGAGATCACACATATGCCATTTTGCTGAGTTCAAAAACTAGAAAATAGAAAAGGGTAAAAACTAAAAAGTAAGTATGGCATTTCGTGAAGATACTTAAATGGTTCTGAACACTGATTAAAATACAGTTTTAAAAAACTTTGGCACCACATCCTGCTCACATTAATAGCAGGTTTGTTTCCAGCATCGAATAGATAGGCAGATCAACTGCGTTGAAGTTTAGCATTGAAATACTTCCAGTAACAAGTGCCCAAGGGACTAACTTTCTAGGCAAAGTAATAAGTAATAAAGTACCAAATAAGAAACCATATATCTTATCAGAACTTATCATGGACATATATATTACTAATACACTTCATAATGTTCGCTGTGACATATTATGTCCTCCACAGATATTGGATTAGTGAGGATTAGTTCTAAGTATAATATGGTAGAATCTATTTTCAACATCCTGTTCCTACAAATGTAAAACATGCACAGCAGTTGTATAGAAATTCATGGCGGGCATGAGAGAAACATACCATTGCTCCACATGCGGAGTAGAGGTCCAACAATCTGCAAAAAGTGATACATGTTTACAATCATCTTCATTCCTTTTCCCTCACTATTTCTTTTTTACTGTACAATCATCATGATGAAAGCAGCACAATCTTACTGTCTAAACATGATACACGAATGCAGTTATCCAAGTATTGGTAATGCTCTTTTTAAATTTAGTGTATGGTCATGTACATCCTCTATGTGTGCGCATGAGAGAGAGTGAGGGAAGAACACAAAGGACAGAAGAAAAATGCCAAGAGTCATCAAAACAAACAGTTCGTTTAGCCTAACCTGTATTGACCTCATCACCACCTAAGTGAAAGAGCTCAAATGGAAAAATCTTCCTCATGTCTGCAAGAGTAGAAATAACAAGCCATTGTCATGATGGAGCGAAGAAAGAAGGATATTTATAAGCATTATGTTTTAATGCTTCTATTAGCTATTGTTAAACAGACTGTGTCATATCCTGGACTCATCAAATAAACCACAAACATGGAATTCTGGAAAGAGAGGTTGCTTAGTATTTTATTATTAACAAAAGGGTGTTCTATTAAGGACAAATTTCATCACCACAAAAAGATACTACATAGTGTACTCAATTTATAAGTATTAAGTAAAAGCAAGCAAGAAAAAATAATTCAGAACGAAGGAGGGTAGGGTAGGGGGGTAATTTGACACAAAATTCTCACCATTGTGAGATCACAAAAGGAGTGATAAGAGGAAACTAACACAAATTGGAGAATAATTTATAGGTGGTTAAGTTATGACGTGCTAATCAGCTAAATAACGCAAGGGAGGTGTGGTCTTTAGAAAAATGAGTTTGCTGCATGTACGTGCATATCAATAACTAAAAGTGATGACAAAGAAGTGAAGAACTCATTTAAAGGTTTTATGACTTGATTATGGAAGTAATGCATTGACAATTACAAGTTCTCCATAGATAGGATGTCATAAATGCATTAATAACCTTCACTAGTTCACTTAATGTGAAAATTTTCTCCTTAGATGATCTGGACTTATATGAAAGGAATTAACCATTGAGCCAATAAATGTCTGGGTATTATAATTCCTCAAGCTTCATAAATATCTGAAAGGATTTAACCTTTTCCCTGTTGCATGTTCAAACCTCAACTAGGAAACCATGAAGAACTATTTCCCAAACTATTAATGCAAAGACAAGCCAAAAGTGTAACATAAAAAGGAAGAAACAACATAAACACAATAGAAGATCCAGATGTAAAACTTTTAAAGGGACCAATGAACATAACCTGCAATGATTCCTGATATCACATCAAAAGTAAAGTTTTTCGAAACATCCAGTGGCTCTGTACAATTAGGTGAAGGCCAAAGATCAGGATATCCTTTACCCCTGGAATAAAGTAAAAATACAAAAAGTATAGAGTTGATTGTGTGATGAAGAAAGACATGAATAATGGTAAATAACACCGAGTACTCGGTTTCAGATTATCAAAGCAACATCACTTTTTGTCACAAGACACCTCTAATAAGACAATCAAACAAGAGCTCAATTTTGCATGTTCATAACTTCATCTGCATGGATATATATCAATTGAAAAATGCATGCATATCATAAACTTAGGTTTACATGTAAGAGTTGGACATTAGATAAAGCATTTAAGAAAGTCATATCTCACAGCCCTTTTAAAAGATTCAGATGGAAATTGGTTTTCTAATTCCAATTCTTCCACAAATATCCAAATCTCCAGAAAGGAGTTATGGAGAAGGAAATTGGAGAGGTACAAAGAGAATCACTATACTCTCAAATACTCACCATGATTCTGCGTGACCAGGAACATCTATCTCTGCCATAATATTGATACCTGTAATAAGTTCATTGAGTGAGACAGCATTGACAAAGAAGCAACATCTTGAACGTTTGGACAAACATTTTGGGATGCCCATTACCTCTCATTTTTGCAAAGCTTCAATTTTGTCCACAGATAGAAATGGGAAATGCAAAATACAGTATTAGTGCCACATAAAAAATATCCAGGAGGAATCAATCAATTTCATTCTACGGAGTATTTAACAAGTCCGAAAAGGATTTAAATAATCCTAGAGGAAAATCATCACTCCATACTAAAGAAAATTCACAAATGAATGGGACAAAGAATATAAAAAACAAACACGAATCTCACTTAACAATGTCGTACGCATCTTCAACAGTATAGCGCTCCATCTTTGTATAAGCCCCTTTCCACAAATTTGGATATGTAGGCACTTCTATAGGAAATGACTGTTCATCTATGATGTGCCAATGAAGAACATTCTACTGAATTGAATAAACAATGTCAGAAATACAACAACATAAATTCAAAGAACCAGTAAATGCAGTAGTTAACGTATCTTACAAGTTTAGCATATGACATGGATTCAATAACTTGCTTGATAATTTCAACAGGCAAATAGTGTCTTGAGGTATCTGCCAAAGGCGAAACTCATCAGTGGAAGGCAATGCATGGGATGCTCTGCAGATTCATAACCATTTGCTATTGTCCAAGCTTATCCAAAAGGAATGAAATTAACGAGGTTACTGTCAATAGAATGCTTATCTTACCAAGCATTAACCCGCGATATTTAAATCTTGGCTTGTCATTGATTAACCAGGGTGCATTATGTACTTGCACATCTTTAGTCACATAATCAAAAACACACAACTGGCTCATTGTCTGGGAGAGGGAAAGTAAGACACCATCAGGGGGTTATTATACATCTTATCATACCTGAAAAAAGCCTAGCATATTATATCATCACAGTTCATACCTCTAATGCTCGAACAGCACCATAAACAGAATTTGCCTGCATGATGAAAGAAACAAACCACAATTAGTAATATGCCATAAAAGTAGCCCTGTACTGTCAGATGCATTTATATTGAAAACTTATTAAAGTATACAAGTTTCAATCTGTCAGGCTATTATAACCAGAATAGGAATCTAAAACGTTAAGCCCCATAGTCAGCAATGGAAAGAAAGATTGGTGCTAAACTTTCATCAGAAATCAGCTTAAGAGGAATGGCAAGCTGAAGAATCATGCCTACCACATCACTCAAAGCAACACATAAAGAAAAAAGCCGAACTTCAAAATAACCTCAATGGAAATCCCCTGAACAATCGAACGTTCATTGCTTTTCGCCACCAGCAAAGTGTAGCTCTCATCAACACCAAGTTGTAGCTGCACAGACACCAATCAAACTATATCAACATCTCACATTTCCCGTTTTCACTCACCTTAATTTCCCCCAAAATAAAAATAAAATTAAAAATCACAGCTAAACATTCACCTCTTCGCTGTCGGAATGCACAGTAACACTAAGTTGCTTAATATCATAATCACCGGAACCCGCCAACTTGGAGCCATGCTTAAAAATAATATGCTTGTATCGCTCAAACGCCTCTTTGACAATCACGGAGCTACCGCCGTTGCCGCTAACGGAGAGCGAGAGATTTGGATCGACGGTGAGAATATCGTTGCCGGAGGTGAATTCCGACGGCAACGGCCATAAATAGGTTAGAGATTCATCGAGCTCTGTACGGAGCTTCAGCTTACGAGAATTGACTAGCGCAAAGAAGAGGAAGAAGATGCAAAGAGTGTGGAATGAGGACAAGATAGTCATTTCCAGGGAGCGCATGATGGAAGAACGATATTGCCAGACTGCCAGTGGTTATGGTGTTGCAGTGTTTGACTTGGATTGAAGCTAGTAATCGCCAATCGGTGAAGAAGAACAGAAACGCTGTTAAACAAATATTAATAAATTCTTTGAAAGAAATAAACATCGAAGTGGCTGTAGTTTAGCGGTTAGAATCTCACGTTGTGGCCGTGAGGACCTGGGCTCGAATCCCAGCAGCCACACGCAACTTTTAAAAGTTAAACCTTTTTAAATTTTACCCACTCTAGCGTGCCTGCAAAACTGCAATCATGGAATTGAAAACGATGTTTTGAAAGTCAAGGTAAAAAGATGAAGATATTTTTTTATCATTTATTTAGTATAATAATATAATATTAGGTGATGTGTACATGTTATTATATTATAGTAGACACAAATAAATACTTACAAGTACACACAGAGTAAATAGGTAAATTAATATTGTCTATAACTGATCGGGCAAAGCAAAGAAACCCAATAAAATAGAGTTGTCTCAATTTTACATTGACAATTTGTTACGCAGTATAAGGCTTGTAGCTAATTAACTAAATTGAAAATGAAATGAGGATTGGAGTTAACTATGAAGTCCTATAATTTAAACTCTATAATTAATTAATCAATATGTCACATTGTATGCGATATGTTATTCCATCATACCCCAACAATATTTTCTTAAATTTAGAACGTGTTTGATTCAACCATTGAACATCATGATTCCTAATTTTATCACTACGAAGTTAAATTATTGAAGGTCAACATGAATCGAAAATGGTAATATAAAAGTTATAACTAAATTATTTTACCAATAACAATATAACAAAATTACGTAAACAATAATCTATCTATCTATATCTATATCTATATCTATATCTATATATCTATATATCTATATATCTATATATCTATATATAAAAGTAAAATTCTCCTAACAAATTTCCCCCCCAAAACTTTTGTAGTAAAACTTATTTGGTAAGTAATTGTCAAATGGAAACTAAATAAAATCTATTAATTGGTAATATTATATATGGTATTATATTCTATAATATAATATAATTGATAATATTATTGTTCAAGTATAATAAAAATATTATTGTTCAAGTATAAAATAAAATAATAATAATAACAATAATAATAATAATAATAATAATAATAATAAATGATAACAACAACAACAACAATATAATAATAATAATAACAACAACAACAACAATAATAATAATAATAACAATAATAATAATAATAATAATAATCCAAACAAAACTATATACAAAATAAAATTAAATTTAAAAAAAATAATTAGAAGACAAAGGTGGCTCCCCTTAGTAAATGATGTGGGATCATTTTGATCCCACATTGAAAATGTATGGAAAGAGGAGCTCTTGATCTCCTCTATATAAGAGGAGCAATGCTCCTCTTACAACCATACAATTGCTTGCCCATCAATGTGGGCAAGTATTGAGAAGTCCAAAGACTTTTTATAGTACTACTATTGACCCGACAAATTATGCTGTGGAATTGTGTCTACCTTGCAAGGTAGACATGGTTCAAAAATAGTTCATAATTATGAATATAATAATCAATATATAGTTCAAAAATTATGAACATATAGTTCTATAATTATGAACATAGTGTTGTGAAAATAATTATGAACACATAGTTATCTAATTATTAATATAGAGATTCAATAATTGTGAATATGAAGTTTAAAAATTATGAATATATATCTTTATAATTATGAACATATAATTCAATAAGTATGAACATAGAGTTCTGTAATTATGAATATAGAGTTCAATAATTATGAATATGAAGTTCAAAGATTATGAATATATAGCTTTATAATAATGATAGTGCAGTATTTATTTGAACATAGAACTGTGTCCACCTTGCAAGGTGGACACGGTTCCACAACCTATTAAAACCCAAGGTGTCAAATGGCTCTTATTTAAAAAAAAAAAAAAAAACTTATCTTACTGGAAATTATTTTTTTATTTATTTTTTAATTTTAGGGGGTTTGGGAAAGATTAACCAAAAATGTCTATGAGTTGTTTTAGTTTTTAGCAGTTTCGAGCAAATTGTTAAGTTATTAAATAATATTTTTGGTGTTTTGATAAAATATAAAATGTTAAACAGACGAATTTTTTAAAATTTTGACGAATTTGCCAAATAATCAAATTACAACAACAACAACAACAATAATAATCCAAACAAAACTATATACAAAATAAAATTAAAATTAAAAACAAAAAACAAAGGGGAGTCACGGGCTCCCTTTGTAAATGATTTTGAGATAATTTTTATCTCACATTGAAAATGATTGAAAAGAGAGAGTTCCTCTATACAAGAGGAGCAATGATCCCCTTACAAACATAATTTCTTGCCCATCAATGTGGGCAAGTATTGAGATGTCAAAAGGTTCTTATTTAAGAAGCCTCAACTCTGTCTTCTTATTTTAGTTTTTATTTATTTATTTATTATTTATTTATTTATTATTAATGGGGGTTGTGAAGATTAACACAAAATGTATGTGTTGTATTAATTTTTAGCCATTTGGAGTAAATTACTGAGTTAAAATGACGAATTGGTTAAAATTTTGGGAAATTTATCAACAATTAAATAAATAAATAATAATAATAATAATAATAATAATAATAATAATAATAATATATAATATAATATAATATAATATAATATATAATATAATATAATAATAATAATAATAGTAATCCAACAAAAAAAAAAAAAACGATATACAAAATAAAATTAAAACTAAAATAAATAAGAAGAAGAGACAAGGGTGCCACGGACTCCCCTTTGTAAATGATGTTGGATCATTTGATCCCACATTGAAAATGTTTAGAAAAGGAGCTCTTGAGCTCCTATATATAAGAGGTGCAATGCACCTTTTACAAACATAATTGTTTGCCCATCAATGTGGGCAAATATTGAGAGGTCCAAAGATTTTTTTTTTTTTTGTACTATTGACCTGATAAATTATGCTGTGGAATTGTGTTCACCTTGCAAGGTAGACACGATTCTAAAATTGTTCATAATTATGAATATATAGTTCAACAATTATGAACATATAATTTTATAATTATGAACATAGTGTTGTGAGCATAATTATGAATATATAGTTATTTAATTATGAATATAGAGATTCAAAACTTATTTGGTAAGTAAATGTCAAATGGAAATTAAATAAAATCTATTAATTGGTAATATTATATATGGTATTATATTCTATAATATAATATAATTTATAATATTATTGTTCAAGTATAATAAAAATGTTATTGTTCAAGTATAAAATAAAATTAAAATAACAACAACAATAATAATAATAATAATCCAAACAAAACTATATACAAAATAAAATTAAAATTAAAAAAAAAAAAAAAAAAAAAAAAAAGAAGACAAAAGTGGCTCCCTTTAGTAAATGATGTGGGATCATTTTGATCCCACATTGAAAATGTTTGGAAAGAGGAGCTCTTGATCTCCTCTGTCCACCTTGCAAGGTAGACGTGGTTCAAAAATAGTTCATAACTATGAATATAATAATCAATATATAGTTCAAAAATTATGAACATATAGTTCTATAATTATGAACAGAGTGTTGTGAGCATAATTATGAACACATAGTTATCTAATTATGAATATAGAGATTCAATAATTGTGAATTGTGAATATGAAGTTCATAAATTATGAATATATATCTTTATAATTATGAACATTTAATTCAATAACTATGAACATAGAGTTCTGTAATTATGAATATAGAGTTTAATAATTATGAATATGAAGTTTAAAGATTATGAATACATAGCTTTATAATAATGAACTTATAGTTCAGTATTTATGAACATAGAACTGCAAGGTGGACACGGTTCCACAACCTAAAACCCAACGTGTCAAATGGCTCTTATTTAAAAAAAAAAAAAAAAAAACTTATTTTAATAGAGATTCTTAATTTTTTTAATTCTTTTTTAATTTATTAGGGGATTTGGGAAAGATTAACCAAAAATGTATATGAGTTGTTTTAGTTTTTAGCAGTTTCGAGCAAATTGTTAAGTTATTAAATAATATTGATGTATTGATAAATATAAAATGTTAAACAAACGAATTTCTTAAAATTTTGACGAATTTGCCAAATAATCAAATTACAATAACAACAACAACAACAACAATAATAATCCAAACAAAACTATATACAAAATAAAATTAAAATTAAAAACAAAAAAAAAACAAAAACAAAAAAAAAAAAAAAAAAAAAAAAAAAAAAAAAAAGACAAAGGGGAGTCACGGGCCCCCTTTGTAAATGATTTTGAAATAATTTTTATCCCACATTTAAAAATGCTTGAAAAGAGAGAGCTCCTCTATATAAGAGGAGAAACGATTCCCTTACAAACATAATTTCTTGCCCATCAATGTGGGCAAGTATTGAGATATCAAAAGGTTCTTATTTAAAAAGCCTCTTTATCTTCTTATTTTAGTTTTTATTTATTTATTATTAAGGGGGGTTGTGAAAGATTAACACAAAATGTATGTGTTGTATTAGTTTTTTAGCTATTTGAAGCAAACTATTGAGTTACTATATAAGTTAAAATGACAAATTTGTTAAAATTTTGACAAATTTATCAATAATCAAATAAAAAAAATATTATAATATAATATAATAATAGTAATCCAAACAAAACGATATACAAAATAAAATTAAAATTAAAATAAATAAGAAGAAGACAAAAGGGTGTCACGGACTCCCCTTTATAAATGATGTTGGATCATTTGATCCCACATTGAAAATGTTTAGAAAATGAGCTCTTGAACTCCTCTATATAAGAGGAGCAATGCTCCTTTTGCAAACATAATTGCTTGCCCATCAATGTGGACAAGTATTGAGAAGTCCAAAGATTTTTATTTTTTATTTTGTACTATTGACCCGATAAATTATGCTGTGGAATGGTGTCCACCTTGCAAGGTAGACACAATTCCAAAATTGTTCATAATTATGAATATATAGTTCAATAATTATGAACATATAGTTTTATAATTATGAACATATAGTTATGTAATTATGAATATAGAGATTCAAAACTTTTTTTGTAAGTAAATGACAAATGAAAATTAAATAAAATCTATTAATTCTTCCAAAAGGATGAACCCGAACCCTAAGGGCCCCCACACTCCAACCTGACAGAGCATTTGGGAGGATGTAAATCATGGTAACTCAACTGAAATCTATTAATTGGTAATATTATATATGGTATTATATTCTATAATATAATATAATTGATAATATTATTGTTCAAGTATAATAAAAATATTATTGTTCAAGTATAAAATAAAATTAGAATAATAACAATAACAACAAAAACAATAATAGTAGTAATAATAATAATAACAATAATAATAATAATAATAATAATAATCCAAACAAAACTATATACAAAATAAAATTAAAATAAAAAAAAAATAAGAAGAAGACAAAGGTGGCTCCCCTTAGTAAATGATGTGGGATCATTTTGATCCCACATTGATAATGTTTGGAAAGAGGAGCTCTTGATCTCCTCTATATAACCATACAATTGCTTGCCCATCAATGTGGGCAAGTATTGAGAAGTCCAAAGACTTTTTACAAATGAGAAGTTCAAAGGCTTTTAATTTTTTTTAGTACTATTGACCCGGTAAATTGTGTTGTGGAACCGTATCCATCTTGCAAGATAAACACGGTTCCAAAATTGTTAATAATTATGAGTATATAGTTCTACTATTATGAACATAGTGTTGTGAACATAATTTTGAACATATAGTGTAGTAATTATGAACATAAAGTTTTGTAATTGTAAATATAGAGTTCAATAATTATGAATATGAAGTTCAAAGATTATGAATATATAACTTTATGATAATGAACATATAGTTCAGTAATTATAAACATGGAATTGTGTCCACCTTGCAAGGTGGACACAGTTCCATATCATAACTATTCGATTGACCCTGTTACATGTACACTTTCTTAACCTATTGAAGATGTTACATGTACACTTTCTCAACCTATTGAAGACCGTGTCAAAATGCTTTTATTTAAGAAATCTTATCATAATGACTTCTTATTTTAGTTTTTTTTTTTTTTTTTTTAAATTTATTAGGGGGTTTAAGAAAGATTAACCCAAAACGTATATGAGTTGTTTTAGTTTTTAGCAGTTTGGAGCAAATTGCTAAGTTATTCAATAATATTTTTGGTTTTTTGTTTAAATATTAAATGTCGGATTTCTTAAAATTTTGACGAATTTGTCAAACAATCAAATTAGAATAACAACAACAACAATAATAATAATAACAACAACAACAACAATAATAATAGTCCAAAACAAAACTATATACAAAATAAAATTAAAATTAAAAAAACAAAAGAGTCATGGGCTCCCTTTGTAAGTGATCTGGGATCATTTTTATCGCACATTAAAAATGTTTGAAAAGAGAGAGCAATGATCCTCTTACAATCTATATATATATATATATATATATATATATATATATATATATATATATATATATATAAAAGTAAAATCCTCCTTGCCAAGTACGTTTTCCCCCCATCCTTTGTAAATGATATGGGATTATTTTGATCCCACATTGAAAATGTTTGAAAAGATAAGCTCTTGAGTTCCTCTATATAAGAGGTACAAACATAATTGTTTGTCCATCAATGTTGCAAGTATTGAGAAGTTAAAAGGTTCTTATTTAAGAAACCTTAGCTTTGTCTTCTTATTTTAGTTTTTATTTATTTATTCATTATTTATTATTATTATTATTATTTATTTATTTATTATTAGTGGGTTGGGAAAGATTAACCCAAAATGTATGTATTGTTTTAGTTTTTAGCATTTTAGAGCAAATTACTAAGTTATTAAATAATATTTTTGGTGTTTTGATTAAAGATAAATTGTTAAAATGACGAATTTGTTAAAATTTTGGTGAATTTTTCAATCTCAATTTTTTAATAATAATAATAATAATAATAATAATAATAATAATAATAATAATAATCACCATCATCATCATCATCCAAACAAAACGATATACAAAATAAATTAAAATTAGAAAAAAAATAAGAAGAATGATGTTGGATCATTTTAATCTCACATTGAAAATGTTTGGAAAGAGGGGCTCTTGAAAATGTTTACAAACATAATTGCTTGCCATCAATGTGGGCAAGTAGTAAGAAGTCCAAAGTTTTTTTATTTTTTTATTTTTTTTAAATTTTTTTGTTTCCTTTTTGTTTAGAAGTAAAGGAATATTACAAATAGAAAGAAAATATTTCAATAATAATATTTCACATAATCAAGGAGTAAATGCATATTTTTAAAAATAGTAAATGTAAATTAAAAATGGAACGAAAATATTTCATTAATAATATTCTACATCATCAAATTAAAATGTGACGGAAATTAGGAAAAAATATCAATACATCTATATTCTAATTGACTGAAAATAAAAAAAAAAATAATTGACTGAAAATGAATCTAATATTACTAATTGACTGAAAATTTGAAAAAGAAATGAATATTAATAATTGACTGCAAATAAAAAAAAATGCTCCATAATTGACTAAAAAATAAATAAAAGAAATGACCATATCATTGCATTTTAATTAAAAATGGAATGAAAATTAAAAATTGGAGAAAAATATTTCAATAATAATAATATTCTACATTATCAATAGTAAATGCATATTTTAAATAATAGTAAAGGTAAATTAAAAATGAAACGGAAATATTTCAATAATAATATCTACATCATTAATTAAAAATGGAATGAAAATTAGGTAAAAATATCACTACATTTGATATTCTAATTGATTAATTGTCTGAAAATAAAAAAAAATAATTGGCTGAAAATGAATCTGATATCACTAATTGATTGAAAATATAAAAGGATAACTAATTGAATAATATTCTACCATTATATATTTTAATCCAATTAATCCGTCCTGATGGATTGAAGGTGTTAGCTCTAGATGAAGATGAATAGGATTGTGTTGTCACTACCAATGTCGTCTACAAAGACGTTTCAATAATGTGTAAATATAATCGGTGATATTAAGTTTTTTTTTTTAAATGAAAAAATTGTTATATATCTAGACAAAAAAAATATATCTTCCATACAAATGAATAAGGATACCAATTCATTTCTATAACTGAGTTGTTAGAGAACGAGCACATTTTCCTAATTTATGAAAATTCTAAACAATGATAAATAAAATCTTCAAAGTTATAGCACCGTATGCGTACATCTAGACATTAGCTATTAATTTGAGCAATTATTTACACAAATTCAAGTAATGATAACACCAAAATATATAAACGATCCAAATCATATATTTAATTGCACTATATAATATTTGATGTTCTAATTTAAATAATTATATATCGATTCATATATTCTTAATATATTATAACAAATCCATTCCGTGCATCGCACGGGTGCAAATACTAGTGTAATTAAAATTAAATACGACAACGTGATACCTTTGTGGCTCATTTGAGGAAAGGCTACAAGTTCGAACTTCGGTAGTGAGATATTGACTCTTTGAATTACCATAAATGGAAAAAGTATATTGAATAAATGTTATATTGTAATCGAGTCGATAATACTCAAAAATACGATAACGTGATACAAAATTCAAACTATATGCCCGAAATCTTGAATTATTAGCTAATGACATTGGTGAGTGCATGACAAAGAGAGACGTGGATTCATAAAATTTATTCTCTATTATACATTTCCGTTTTCACCTTTATACCCACTTGTGCAATTATGTCACTTATGCACGAACTTTATGTGAACATCATGTCGTTAAACAATTCGATCATAAGAATGACTTGGCCTAATTTATTTTGCAAATAAAAATGTTTTTTTTTTTTAAATCCCTTTTGAATTTCATTGATTTTCGATATTCATAAATTGATTAACTCAATTATTAATTAAAAAAAAAACAAATTTATGTCTCTCAAAACTTAACATAATAGATATTTATGAATTGGTTGACGCAATCATTAATTAAAAACCAAATTTATGTCTCTCGAAACTTAACATAGTGATTTGTCGCCCGACTTTAAGTCACGACTGAAGAAGGTCATGTGAGGAAAACCTTTTTTTTTTTTATAGAAAGGGAAGGGCAAAACTTAAGCAGGGTTTAACCGGGCTCAAGACTATGATTCTTCAACAGTCAATCCGCTACTTGATTTTGGTCACGCAAAATATGGCATCATTGGACATTCTAACTCTTCTTGATCCAAGATTTGCACTCCAAAATGATATTGTGAAGGGACCCCCCCCCCCCACCACCCCAACCTCTGGCGTCAAAAAGCGGATCGTTAATCCAGTTGATCACATTCGTCGAGTCACTCTGCGAACATGATCAACTGGATTAACGATCCGTTTTTTACGATGACTCTAGGAGCAGAGCCTTGTTTTACGAAAAATATTAAAGTCAAAATAACTTATTAGTTCAAATATAGAACATTGTGGTTATTTCGATATGTTCATATGTATGCAATATAATAAATAAATAAATAAATAATAATGACACCGTAAATAAGTTTACTTGTAAATATTGTTCTTAATTAAAAAAAAAAAACAAATTTATGCATCTCGGAGTTTAGCATTGTGGATATTCATGAATTGATTAATTCAACCCTTAATTAAAAAATAAATTTATGCCTTTCATTTCAGAGTTTAGCGTAGTGATTCACAAATCGTGACTAAAGAAGGCTGTGGCGAAAAAATCTAGATGATAGAAGGTACACTAACTCTAGGGTGGGGTCTTGTTTTATAAAAAATACGAGTCAAGTATAACTCTCTGGTTCAAATATAACTCAAAAAAAAATATTATCACACTACATAATAGTTGAGATATGTATGTCATATATAATACGGAGTAAATAAATAAATAATGGCACCGTAAACTATAGCGGTGAAGAGAGACCAGAGACGTGAGTGGGGAAAATTCCTTCGCCAAAAAATCGTAAACTCTGTTCCTACATTCCATTTCCATACTCCACTAGTGCGGGAACTTTCCGCCATCCTGCAACAAGTCAACAACAACCTCCGCGATATTCGATTCTGCCTGCAACGCCCCTCAATTCTACATAGATTTACGCTGCCTACCATTCTCCCGTTCCTCTCCCCCATGCTCCGTCGTCACACTGACTACAATTTCAACTTGTCGTAGTGGTGTTCAGCCGGGATTTTGAAATGGTGGAGGCGGTAAGTATCGACTTCGACGATCACGGCGCCTCCGAGGAGCAACTCCTCTTGTCGGACACCAACACCGCCGCCGACCGGTCTTGGCGCTTGAACTTCGACGGCTTCCAGCTCTCGTCGGAGCAGAAGGAGAAGCCTTGTCGCGGCATTCATAGCTGCCTCGGTGTTTTAAGTAATTTTCTCAACTGTCATATGCTTCATAGCTCGTTGCGTTGATATACATGATGTGTTTTGTTTTCCGATCGTTTGAATATCGAATTGGTTACGTTTATAGAAAACATCTTTTGCCTTTCAATGGCTTAAAATATCAATTTTCTAGTTCAAGTAATCCAGTGAAAACGTGTGGTTTTAACTTTTAAGGTTTACTTTCTCTTTCATACTTAATACGGAGCAATATAGTTAAGATCAAAAGTGAACTTGTGAAGGGAAATTTGTTGCCTAGTTGATTTATTAAGAATGCTTGTAACATTACAGAATTTATTGTTGCATATGCTATCAGTTCTGTCTTTGTTGAGTGTGATTGATAGTGTATTGTCTAGACAGAATTTGGAAATCTTATGACAATGAAGTGTTATGACAATGAAGTGATACCTTATAGGCATATAAATAATGTTTCCATCTTCTCATATACAGTTCTGCATATATATTCCTTCTCATCCTCTAGAGAGGAAAATAATTGAACTCTGGAGTGTCATTGGCTTGATTTAGTGGTATAAATACTACTCCGTATAAAAGAATTTGAAGTGTGATTCTGAATCCTTACTTGAATGTGTATTTGGTAAAAGATTTAGAATATTAAAAGGGAGCCAGGCCATATAGGCTAGCTAAATGGCTGAAGTGTTTAGATGTTCTTTTAATGTTTTTAGTATTTATTCGAGCTTCTGATGTTAACATTATGGCATTCATGTTAAGGTTATATTAGCTCAAACAAGAAAAAGTTTCTATAATCTTTTTTTTTTTTCAAAGTTATATGTTTGTCTTTCAATTTTCCCCAAAATGTTCAAACTAGATGGGATTTATACATTTCTTCTTTCAGTTTTCCCCAAAATGCTCAAACTAGATGGGGAATTCATCTTTCTTGAATTCTTATTTCCTTTCCTTAATAAATTCCAAGTCTCAAAAAGTGTAAAGCTACCCAGCTTAAAGTATCAATGGAAGCATTCTCAAAATTTCCCTTTGCATACTGCCTCAGGAACATTGAATGAATTCATCTTTCTTGAAGCCTTATTTCCTTTCCTTAATAAATTCCGAGTCTCAAAAAGTGTATAGTATCCACTATCCAGCTTAAAGTATCAATGGAAGCATTCTCAAATTTTCCCTTATGCATATTGCCTCAGGAAAATTGAATTAATTGAACCCCAGTGAGTTATTGCTTTCAGATGAACTAATGGAAGCATTCTCAACCCTTCCCTTTGAACATTGTCTCAAACAGTGTAAAGTATCCAGCTTAAAAACTATTATCTGTTGGTTTGTGGGTCCAACTTCAGAAGAACAAGATGCTTCATGTGTGGATTTGCATTAATTTGGTATATATTAAGGAATTTCTCTTTAACCTTTCTGTTTTCTAAATGGAATATGCTTGATTTGTGGTTAATTGCCTTGAGTTGACATTTGTGGTTGCATATGCTTATACATATATATGCAATGTATTCTATTGAGATATAAACTCTATACCTAAATTTTTGTAGAAGGAAATAGGAGTTATTTCTCCTGGTGCATGGTAGAAATTTTGTTTTGCACTTTCATACATAGATTTTTCCAGTGATTGTCTCACCGGCAAAGTGCTGTGAAATCATTCCTAATGGATTCACCTATTGGTAAGTTATAGTTACAAGTCTTTTAAGGTACTCTGGTGTTTATGCTCCACTAGGCCATACAGGTTTAATTCCAGAATTTGATATCAGGTTATTGAACAATTAAATTGGCACACGGGTGCTTAGGTTGAGGTTTTTGCTTAAAATACTGTAGGATTTGATTTGATGTAATCCTTTAGACACATGTGTACTTGAAATCCTTTCTTTGATTTATTGTGCTGGCCATGTCTTTGTAATAATAGGTTGCCATAATGGAACAGGTAGAGGAGTTATTTCAATTGTATTCATGAGTTTATCTTTTTGAACCCTTGAAGTTACTTTTTTATATTTAATTGCTCTATATGATGATTACAGAAGAAGAAGATAACGTGGCAGAATATTATCAACAACAAGTAGAAATGCTTGAGGGATTTAATGAAATGGATGCCTTAACAGATCATGGTTCTCTGCCAGGAATGTCAAAGGTCAGTGGTGTTGAATATCTATTAAGCATGGATCATGATTTACACAGACCATAATGAGTTAGAACCTTGGATGATACTAATGGTTCCATTGCAGGAAGAAAGAGAAAAATTAGCCAAAAGTGAAACAGCTGCAATCATGATATCAAATGTTGCAAACATGATTCTGTTTGCTGCTAAGATTTATGCATCTATTCGTAGTGGTTCACTGGCAATCATTGCATCAACATTAGACTCACTTCTAGATCTTCTGTCTGGTTTTATATTGTGGTTTACGGCCTTCTCCATGAAGAAAAGAAATCCATATAAATATCCTATTGGAAAGAACCGTATGCAGCCTTTGGTAAGTTCCTCTGCTGCTTCTCTTTGATCTTCCAATAAAAAAATATGGAGTACATCACTGTAGTCTGCTAGTTATATTTCATTACACCTATGCTGTTTTTTGCTTATCTTATTTTGTAGAGTCTAAAGTTATATTCAAAATTTGATCATTAAATGCAGCTTGGTTTTCAGATTAGAAACTTTAGCTTTTCTGGCATGGTAACGGAGAGGAAATTCAATCAACTTATGCACCTTCTCCTAGTTTCATATTTTCAGAAATATTTGAAACATGCTGGACCTTCACTTTGGTTTTTCCTTAAAATAAGTGGTAAAATTTATATATAGCTTTATGGATATATGAGTAGTTATTTGAGAGTGCGAGTCACTTCCCTGGAATGTCTGAGATTTCTGGCTTTTATTTTTGTTGATATTATTCATGGTTCTTCCCTTGGAAGTATGGTCAGAACAAGGAAACTTCTACACTTTTTTAAATCCCCTACTACCTCAAGTGGGTTTATTCTCATTGGATGTTTCTGTTTTTAACATTGCAATGTTGATATATGCAGGGAATCCTTGTTTTTGCATCTGTTATGGCGACTTTAGGATTACAGATAATTTTGGAATCTCTTCGCACGCTGTTATCTAATGTAAGTGATTCTTCTTAAGCATGCAGAGCTCCTGTTCAATACATGATTGTGAACTTTCCTTGTTTGGTTGCTGGGCTTTGAACTTGATTCCTAATATCAAAGAATGGTATTGATTCCTAAAATGTTTTGATATCTGTTTTTAAGTTTTTTTATAGTGGTTATGGAACTCAGTGGAGGTATACAATGAGGGGAGAAGTCTCTGGTCTGATGTGGTGTTTTGGTTGATTGAAACATTACCTTTTTACAGGAGATGGATTTTAACCTTACAAAGGAACAGGAGCTATGGGTAGTTGGCATTATGGTTTTTGTAACTCTGGTGAAACTAGTTTTGGTGATCTATTGTCGATCCTTCACCAACGAGATTGTCAAAGCGTATGCTCAAGACCACTTCTTTGACGTTATCACCAACGTCATAGGTCTTATTGCTGCATTGCTTGCTAACTACGTCACTGGCTGGATGGATCCTGTTGGAGCTATCATTGTAAGTAATGGTGCATTATCTACTTTCTATCGCATCCCATAAACTCGATCATATCACCACCCCGGCCCTGCTTCCCAACCCAGCACGCATACTCCCCCTTTTCAGCACTTTTTTGTGTCATGCAGCTCGCCATATACACCATCCGAACGTGGTTGCTGACAGTGCTGGAGAATGTGAACTCCCTCGTTGGCCAGTCAGCTACCCCGGAATACTTACAAAAAGTGACATACCTATGTTGGAATCATCACAAAGCCATAAGGCACATAGACACTGTCAGGGCTTACACCTTCGGTTCACACTACTTCGTCGAAGTTGACATCGTCTTGCCTGCAAAAATGCCCCTGCAAGAGGCCCACGACATCGGAGAGTCTTTACAAGAGAAACTGGAACTGTTGCCTGATATTGAGCGCGCCTTCGTCCATCTCGATTATGAGTTCAGCCACAAACCCGAGCATACACAAGCACATCTTTAGTCAAGAAATGCTTGGAGTTACTTGGACAAAAAATAAGATTGATTTATATTTGGCGTCCTTCATTAATGGTGTAAAGTATCCTCTGAGCTCTGAAACTGGAAATAACATGTGATTGATGTGGTAAATGGTTTAAATAGAAACCAATTTGCCAAGTCTTCCCAACCTATAGACATTTTCACTAGTGTTTTATTTTATACTCTTTTTCCCCTTTTTGTTTCTTGTTTATGGCAATTTTCCAGTATGTGAGCAGTACAAAATTCTTCTTTCTGATATAGCAGATTACTGCTTCATTTGATAAAAATAGGAAATAGGACATGAGAACCTGAGACAGCTCTTTACTCTTTGTTCATTGGTCATTTTGATGTAGTAAATACACTGTTTTCAAGTTGCCATATGAATATATGATGAATAAATGGACAGGTATTTATACTAGCTATTTTTCTTCATTTAAACATTAATTAACTTGTGAGTGACAAAATATAAAAATTAATTATAAAACTATATTTTTTGCTTCCAGGCCAGCTGCGTATTTGAACAGATTATCATTAGCCTGTTTTTGCTGTCTCTCCAGCCTGGAACCGCCCATGGCAACCTTTTCATCAAGCCAACTGACGATGTCGGAAAACACGACGTCAAGATTCTCAGGCAACTCGCCGTAGGTGAGGGAATGCCACATTCCTGGATACATCTTGAGGGTCTTGTCTTTGCTTGAAGCTGTTTGGTGCAGGAGTTTGCTCACCGCGGGATCCGTTACTACGTCTGCTTCTCCGTGTGCTACTAGGAACGGAAACGTCACCTGTCGTTAAATCCCCAAACCCCAACGCCGTTAGTTAGGCGTTAGCTCAAATCTGATTCCATAACGAGTTTATATAATTTTAACATTTTTAAAGTTAAATTCATATTTTTATTTCGATTTCAAAGAAATACGGACTATAATTTTAATTTATCATTCACGAATAAATTTAAGAATAAAGATTGTGTTAAATAACCTCATTGAGCTTTTGCTCCAAGTCCAAGCTAACAGTCAGGAGTTGATTCCCGGTTTGCAAGCGGGGACGGCCCTTGTAGCAGTATGGGTTCGCCCTGATCTGCATATATTTGGATTTTGGGAAAAAAAAATCAAAAAACAAAACAAAATGACCAAACAGTTATTAATTATCAAATCAAATGGTACAAGATTTAAAAACGACACGTTTCAAAAAAAAAAAAAAAAGATTTAAAAACGACAAAAATCTATTTTATTGCTTAAGTCTAGTCCAATAAGTCCATTTCCTACGACCTTGGACTATATCCCGATAGGGAAAGCTCGGAAAGGCAAACAAAAATATGAACCTTTATTGATTTATACACGACATTTATTTTTGGTCACATATGAAGATTTTTATCATAAAATTTGAAAAAATCAAAACTGAGCAAATTTACCTCTTTTCTAATTTCAGGATCTCTAAAAGCGACATCAACAATATCTTGAGTTGGAATGATTTTCCAAGTGGGAATGACTTTGCAGAGTTGGGTTAACACACTAATCACAATTCGATTTGGCCTCATATCATCCGCAATCTGCAAATGCAAAAACCACAATAAAACATTATAATAAGTGTTGTACTCTTTTGCATAAGTGTTGAGATAAAATAATAATGATATTATTAATTAAAGATAAAATTAATATTTACACTCTCAATAATGTAACAAGAGTGAAGAGCAAGTGCAACAACTTCTAGAATAACTTTGACAAAATTGTAGGGCTCTCATTAGAAATTATTGTAAAAAAAAAAAAAAAGTAATGCCTATTTTTTTTTGGTGACAAGGGAAACTTGCATTCATTATAAAAAATGTTCATTCGGTAAATATTACTCTAGTGTAATGGCCCTCATGAGAGGGAAAGGTAAACTGCACCAGAAATATCATGTGCAACAACACGATGTAAATAATATTTGCAAAAATCAAACTCACAATTTTATGATATAAGAATCATGCTCCCCTCACTCGGACATCCATTTTAAAGCAAGCCAACATCCAATCTTTTCATTACTTTATTTTTTAATAAATAGAGAAAAGCATATAAATTAACTAATCATTTGGACTTGGATGTTTGGGTATGTTACAAGTGTTGGTAATGCTACATGTATTAAAGTTTTTGTATCAATATATATATATATATATATATATATATATATATATGTGTGTGTGTGTGTGTAACATTATACTTATTTATATATTGAATGACGTAATTTTAATATTTCATAGATCTGTTAACATATAATATAATTAATTAATTCACAAATAATAAATAAATATGTAACATTATACATACTTATTATTAAGTCATGTTGTTTAATGACTTTTTTTAAATTAATTAAATGATACTTAACATGATCTTTTAAAAAGTCATTCTTCCTAAACTTCTTTTAAAAAGTCAATTAAAACCAGTAGTGTAGATGTCATCTAATCCTAACAAAACCTTATTTTCGTGATAAATAATTATTAATTAATTATTAATCACAACATGTCAGTTCTATTCCAACCTCTACAAACCAAACTTGCTCTCAATCATACAGTGTTTAGGTTTGGAACCAACTTTCATTTGTAATAAAATTTAATAATAAATATGTCCATTCAAAACAGCTATCTTTTACCTTTTCTAATACGGAGTATCATTTGTTTTATATTTCACCAATGAAATAATTATGCCAATATTTTTTAAAATTTTATTTTTTAAAAAATCAAAATAATTTTTTTTTATCACAAATAATTTTTTTTCTGTTTGATTTAACTCGATCATATGTTTAAAATTTCACGTTATTAGTTTAATAATTAACGTCACTGAATATATATTTAGTACCAGTATCAGTTTTCAAGACGGACACAAGAGAATTGATGTTAGAGAAAAGAACAAACCTTACACATTGGAGCAACTAGTACAGCACCATCCCAGAAATCAGGCTTCCTTCTGTGAAGAAGAAGAGCCATAGCTCCTCCCATGGATTCTCCCAGCAAGATCCTCATCTTCTTCTTATTTTCTGGCATCTCTGCATTCACCATAGTCAAAGTCAAACTCATATATATCCTCAAAATTATCAACAACAAATCCCACAAAATTAGCAGTCAATCCAGTACAACAACATGCCCTGCCCACCCCTCCATAATATTTAAGTCAAAAACTAAATTTCTTGTTGGTTTTATGTCATTAATTACCACAAATTTTGGAGTAATGATCACAGCAATCAGACACAACATCATCAAAGCTGGGAACATAACCCAGCAGACCAGCTGACCTTCCATGCCCTTCATAGTCCATACCATAAACTGCATACCCTGCTTTCACAAGCCTCATAGCAGCACCTATGTATATTGGACACACCAAATTAATTAACCACAACACTACAATCATTTTCAACTGGTATATACATTAAAAAAAATAATAATAAAAAATAAAAACTTCTACCATTCATATAAATATACCCCGCTTCAATTCAAACCAAAACTTTAATTCGAAACCTTATGGTCTAGTGACACGAAGTGACTCTCCAAATGAAAGGTCGTGGGTTTGATTCACAACTCTAATTGTGAAAGTAATTATGAACAGATACTAAATTATAATTTAAATGTTTCTACTAAGAGGTGGCCTGATAATTCTAATTGAGTTCAGAACTGAAACAAAATCCCCTCATAAGCCCTAACTCCTAAGCCAACTTCACAAAATATTATTATGATTTTTTTATAGTTCAAAACCCCGATTCCAGACTGTATGAACTATGGCGAAAAAAACAGAACTGCATTAACTAAACTTAATTCCGTAGCGCTTGAAGGTACATCAATACGATATAGAATAACAAACCTTTCATAGAAACAGCGCATTCCATGGCGTAACCATGGCAGAGGAATATCAAAGCTTTCGGTTGCGACTGCACCGGCAGCCATCTGCACGTAAAAAGCTTCATTCCTCGCGAGTTCAACACGAATTCCTGATTTAACTTAAACAATTTATTTTTTTTTTTCAATTGATCATGCATATATAGCTGATTATATATACATATATATATATATATATATATATATATATATATATATATATATATATATATATATATATAGCTTCAGAACAACTGAAAGAGTGAGAGTTTTACCTCTTCATATATGACGCTGCAGTTTTGATCCTCCATGGCCTGTTGAAAGCAGAATCGAAGATAGAAAAACAGAGTAAATTGAAGAACAAAAAGAAGAAGCAGAGTTTAATGAGGAAATTGAAAGAGCGTGCACTGTACCGTTAAAAGAGCGCAGAAAAACTTGGAAGGATCGGAAAGAGAGGCGACGGAGTGTAAAGAAAGAAAAAAGTACAGAAACGTGATGATTAGTATATGGAAACAGATCGGATCAAGCGAATATATATATAAATAATTTGATATGTATGATGAGAGAGAGAATGATATACTACTATATGGGGGATTTGATTATTTGAAGAATACTGGGGGAAGAAGGGGTTCTTATAGATAGAAGAGTTGAAATTTCTTAGAGCTCAACCTCACGCGGCTTCATGATTTCATCATTTGTATGTAAAAGATATACATTATTTAGCATTATCTAGATATAAAGTAAACAATTAAATCTCTCGTCACCCAAAAAGTAAACAATTAAATCAATTGATAATCAGCTTTTTTTTTTTTTTTTTGGTAGGTTGTGTGCATTATTATTAATTACTAGTATTTGCGCCCGTGCGATGCACGAAATAGATTTGTTGTAATATATTAAGAATATTTGGATCGATATATAATTATTTAAATTAGAACATCAAATATTATATAGTGCGATGCACGGAATGTATTCGTTATAATATATGAATTGTAATTTGCTTCATATTCGATAGTGTAAATTTTAACGTTAAATTAAGGTTTGTATGAATGTTTCAAAATTGAATTAATTGGTCTCATTATCTTTATGTGTAGTAATTTAGCTATAGAAATTTTTGTAACGGAATATATACGTAATATGTAACAATTTTGTTATATTTTTGCAAGAAGAATACATAATATAACTGTTTTGAATTAGACATTGTTGAAAACCTCTTTGTAGACGACATTAGTACGTAGTAGTAACAGAAGTTTGTCCATCATCGTCTAGAGCTAAAACCTTTAGGCCATAAGGATGAGTGACTCGGGAAAAAGCCACGTACAATTGACCATGATTAAAGACTGATTTTTTCAACAATAAGCCAACGTGAGTTAGTGTTTGACCCTGACTTTTGTTGATAGTCATTGCATATGCTAGCATCAACGGGAATTGTTTACGCTGGAACTTGAACGGCAATCTCGTATCAGAAGGGGTGAGAGACATTCGTTGTATAAGAACTTTGTTTCCTTGCTGCGTTCCATTAACTATTCTTGCTTCGACAATATGATCCGCCAATCTTGCAACGATGAGGCGTGTACCGTTGTAAAGACCAAGAGAGTGGTCTATGTTTCGCAGTAACATAATAGGTGCACCAACCTTTATTGCCAATGAATGATTAGGAAGTCCAGACAATCTCAATCTATTTAAAAATTCAGGAGTGTGTACTTGTGAGAGATTATCACCATCTATATGATTCTGCCTTACACAAAGAGTCACAGTTTAAATACATTCGACCTTTTGCAGTGTTCATGTCACACATATACTGATTAATTTGATCAACACCATCTAAAGTCGGTGAGATGATCGCTTGTCCTTCTAGGTGCGACTCTTCTAGCATTCTATACTTCTCACAATTACAATGGTTTAATTATTCACATAATTTGTTAACTATTTTTCATTTTCAAGTACATATTGACTTTAATTTGGGGTAACAATTCATTAGATATATTAGTTAATTTCCATATAAAATTTTGTTACCGATTAAGCTTTATTAATTTTTTTACGAATTAATTAATATTCTTTATTAGTTTAGGCGGAAAATTTGAAGAGGATAATTTGTTGTTTATTTATAGTATAGATTGGTGTAAATAATAATTAATAAATTATTATTTTCTTATAAAATTATGCAAAATTTCAAAAGAGTTTTCCCATTTATTACGCAAAATTTGTTTCCATTATTCTCACAATTATTATGGTTACTTATTCTTAGAATTTGGTAACCATTTTCCATTTTAAGTACATATTTTGGGATGGCAACGGGGCGACGCGGGCGGGGAGTATACTCCTCATCCCCGTCCCTGCGACCCCGTTCCCCTTCCCATCCCGCCCCCGTTCCCGGTGGGGAATTGAAAATATTCGTCTCCGCGAAGAATTAGGTGGGGACGGGGATTCTCCATTCTCCGTCAATTCCTAGTCAAAATGTTAAATAATTCAAAATTTTAATAATAAAAAATTTAAAATATAAGTCATAGTTTTAAAAATTAAAATACTAACTCTACGTGTGTGTGTAGTCGAGTTCAGGTGCGGCGGGGTCTTCCCGTGCGGCAGTGCAGCTTCACAAATAGTAACGAAAATATACAACATCAATGTTAGGAAATGCACCACAAAACACACAGAAATTAGGTTCGCATCACCAAAAAACACACCATTAGGTGTGAGTAAAAGCACCATACAGTATTTGAAACTACACCATTAGGGATTGTGAGTTATATAGTGTATTTTTTTGGTGTATTTTTTTATTTCATTATTGTGTGTTTCCCTTACACTGTTGGTGCCTTTTGTTAACACTGTTGGTGTATTCTGAAACTATGCCACACCCCTGCACGGGAAGACCCCGCCACACCTGAAGCACACAGAGTCAATTATTAATAATCATTTACCATTTCTAAATGTATATGTTGCTTTCAAAAAAAAAATGTATATGTTTAATTTTTTTAAATTAAAGTTCGCGTCTTGACCTGCTTCGATTTGAAATTTGATTTTGCTCAATTTGAAGATAAAAGGTAAAAAAAATCATCAATTTCACTATATAGATCTATACAGTGAAATTGATGATTTTTTATTTTTTATTTTACCTTTTATCTCTTTATTACTTTTTTTTTTTTCGAATTAATTAATATTCTTATTAGCCTAATGTAGCACACAATTAGGCTAATTTTCTTAGTGGATGCGTTGTTGACTCTATGTGCTTCATTAGGTTGAGAAAGTATTAATAATCATTTTCTTTTTTAATTAGCCTAATTTTCATGTCATTTGTATTCTCAATCAAATTTTTTTTTAATACATATCAATTAATTTATACTATAATTATTAATATAATTGTCGTTATATATTTAGAAGGGTTCCATGTCATTTTTAATCAAGTATTAATTATCATTTTTTTTTTCAATTGGCCTAATATGCATGTCATTTTTTATTCTCAGACAATAATTTTTTTAATACTATTAATTAGTTAATTAATAATAATAATTTTTTAATATTTCCAATAAGTTTTTAATAACATATAGTTTTTCGAATTTACATATACTATAGTTAATCCATTTCCTTTTTGACATGGTTAATATGAGGATTCTTTTTTCTTAAAATATTATACCACAATTTATACATTTCGTGCTATCTTCAATCTCAGTCAAGTATTTTCCCAATTAACAAATTCTTTTTCCAGTTTAGTTATATTATTGTTTGGACGGTCTGACCATTTTCTTTTTCATTTGAGTCAATTTGAGATCATTTTTAATATTTAATCAAGTATTAATAATCATTTCATTTTTCAATTGGTCTAATTTTCATGTCATTTTTATTCTCAGTCAAATATTTTTTTATTACATATCAATTAATTTATATTATAATTATTAATATAATTACCGATATATATTCAGAATTTATATATTCAATGTCATTTTTAATCAAATATTAATTATCGTTTCCTTTTTCAATTGGTATAATTTGCATGCCATTTTTATTCTCAATCAATGATTTTTTTAATACATATTAATTAGTTAATTATTAATAACTTTTATATATATATATATATATATATATATATATATATATATATATATATATATATTATTTCCAGTAATATATTCTGTGCCATTTTTAATCAAGTATTAATTATCATTTACTTTTAAATTTGATCTACTTTTTATACCATTTTTATTCTCAGTCAATGATTTTTTTTAATACATATTAATTAGTTAATTATTAATAACAATTTTTTTAATATTTCTATGTTGAAGTGATTTTATAATACTATCAACTATTAGTGTAAATAAGTTTCATGTGTAAATACGATATGTAACCTTTATGCATTTTAAAGTTTTGTTATGTAATAACTATATAGGAAACATTGAGATATTACAATTGAAAAAACACATACTATTATTTTATTGATTTTCAAAAACATACTATCAATTAAATAAGATTTGATATTTAAAATGAATAATTAGCTAAAATAATAAACTTGTAATACACCGTATTAAAATAAAAAATTATTACAAACATCTTAGTAAACTACATTAGTAGTTAAACTACAAAAGAAAATATATATTCTCATTTATCAGTAATTCCGATTACACCAAGACTAATTAATGTATGTATATATTAATTGCGCAAGTTAGGTGTTGCCACATCCTTTACTAACATCCATGTTAATTTGTCCAATGTCTAAACTCACGACTCATCTGTATAATCTTCATCACAATAAAATTAAAAAGAATATGATAGTTGTTAATTCATCCCATGTCTAAACTCATAAATACAATCTTCATCACAATAAAATTAAAAAGAATATTATGATAAAGAATTGGATATGATGCATCTACAATTCAATTTTTATTCATGAAATATTTTCACAAAATAAAAATAAAGTAATTAATAAATATAATATACAAACAACTTGCTATAGTGTTTACCTGAAATAGTTGTGAAATATTACATTTTTTTTAATAAAACTACCAATACAATATACTTTATTAAATTTATATATTACTTTTTCAATATATGCAATTGCATGTATATTAATAAGAACTAAATATGAAACTTTTGATTTTCATTTACATGATTGTATAGTAATTAACTACCAATGCAAAACAAATTTAAATCATATACATATGAAATATATTCAATTTAGGTATATTGTAGAGGAGATTTAAATTCAATTAACTACAATATTTAAAATGAGTAACTACCCTATTTCGATTTGATATTTAAAATGTGTAATTAACTAAAATAATAAACTTTTAATAGAAAGTATTAAAATAAAAAAAATAATTAAAAACATCCAGATTCTTCATTTTGCATTATTGATTTTTGTATCCACCAAGTCAAGATTCTGTAATACAATCAAAGTTGTCCAAGGAATTACTATCACCTCTAAATTTGAAAAAAGTCATCCTGCAAGTTTACATCTACAATGATTGGCGGTCATGGTTGAAACCCTTCAAGGTTGACAA